ACTGAAGGCTACTTCTGCTGGCTGCCAACAGTTCGATTCTGACCGGCTCAAGATTGACCCAGCCTTCCATCCTTCCAAGGTCGCTAAAATGAGGAACCAGATTGTTGGGGGCAATAGGCTGACTCTGTAAACCACTTAGAGAAGGCTGTAAAGCACTGTGAAGCGCTATATAAGTCTAAGCGCTATTGCTATTGTCAAATTATCATGCTTTGGACACATTATGCAAAAATGTAGCTCTGGGGAACTCTTTTAATGCTGGGAAAAGTGGAAAAAAAGAGAACCACCAGGAGAAAAGTGATTAAGGCGGAAGTCCCAGTAGCAAAGGGTGCACCTTTAAAAGATCTGAAGGATCAAGTTGGGGCAGATTGAAGACCTCCAAGGTCTTCCAGCTATTCTCTCCTCATCCTCCCCTATCCTATTCTAATTGGACTAGAAAGTCCAAAAAACCTTCCAAAAGAAGGCAACGGTAAACCACTTCCGTACTGTTACCAGGTAGTCCTTAACTTATGACCACAGTTCAGCCCCAAAATTCTGTTGTTAAGTGAGACATTTGTTAAATGAGTTTTGTTCCATTTTGCAGGGGCAAGGAATGGGAATTCTTGGCCATCGTACAACTATTATCCAAGTACATTAAAATAACCCCAGGAAAGATCTTGAGCAGATAAAACACACACACACACACACACACACACCTCTGTGAAGATCCTTCATCAAAATGGACCCTGTGAGCAAGGAACAAGCTTGCAGCAAAGCCAGGGTGAAAATAAACAAAGAAGACATTCCTTAAAAAAAGACAGAAATAAGGAAAGAAATAAGCAGAGGCACGCAGCCTTTTCGCTGACCCTTTTCATCGCACATGCTGGTGATTTTGCCATTTATGCAAAACGAATTCCTTAAATCCCTGATTTCTACCAGCAGGAAACACCATAAACGCCGTGGATAAATACGGAGGCAGCGCCATCTATCGGTCACAATCTCATAATGCGAAGGGAGGCGTGCAAGTGGCCTCATTTCCATCAAGGAATGCAAAAAAGGAAGAGATGTTTATAAAAACCGGACCTTTGCCTGGATGATCATTTCCTTCTCCCTCTACATCCAGGGAACCACCAGGGTAAAAAGTAAACTGGATCAAGCAAAGGGGCAGAAAGGGTTAACAGTTCCTTCCCGCCTCGCGCTTTGCAATTAGCAAGTAACACCTTGCCGGGAGAACGGGTAACCCAACCAGCCGCTTGAAAGCCATTTGGAAACTAAACTCTTTGGGCTCAACCCACGCATTCTCTCGCGTCTGCTTTATTCTTCAGCCTTACGAGGACCGCATCCCTTTTTAACCCTAGCCCCGTCGCAAATGGCACGCCACGCATATGGGGCGCGCGAGGGCGTAGAACCGGAAGAGTCGGGTGAACGCCGCAATGACCGTGCCTCTTGGTGGCGCGCCCAGACGGATGTCGGAAGTGTCCTCTCAGAGCGTTCCTTCCGTTTCCGGGTGGCGGGCTGAGTCACTCTATAGTCTCTTCTTCGCTGCTCGCTGGCTGTTTGGTTTCCCCTCCGTGCCTGTCACCGACCGGCCTTTTCCCCCCTCGGTCTCTCTCGCGCCTTTTTTTCCTCGCCAGGATGCCGCTGGAAAACCTGGAAGAGGAGGGCCTCCCTAAGAACCCCGACCTCCGGATCGCGCAGCTCCGCTTCTTGCTGAGCCTGCAGCCGCAGAGCCCGGACCCCGCCGTGCGCCAGGAGCTCATGGCCGCCATCCGTCAGCACGGTAAGAAAAACGGGGAAACCGACAGCCTTTGCTTCCTAGGGTTTTTGCCCTCCCGCCTCTATTTAGGGCAAACTTCAAAACCTAAACATCGAAATGAACGAGGGGAAAAAACCCTTCAAGCAACCTGAAAACTAAATTTAAAGTTTCTCAAAGTTAAGAAAGATGGATTTATTATAAAGGGTTCTTTTCACACCAAAGGAGGAGGGACACGCCTTTAATCCTCTTGCTGAGTAGGGAGTGGGGAGCTTTCTGTACATGCTCTAGGGAGTAGGAAGTTGTCCTCGACATACAACGGTTCATTTAGTGACCGTTCAAAGTTGCAACAGCGCTGGGAAAAAAAGTGACTTACAGACGGTTTTCACAGTTACGACCTTTGCAGCATCCCTGTGATCAAAATTCAGATGATTGGCAAATGGTTCGGGCTTATGACCGTTGCTGTGTCCCCGATCCCCTTTTGCCGACCTTCGGACAAAAGCCAGGTCAACAGGGAAGTCGGATTGACTTAATGACTGGGTTACTAATGTGTCAACCGCAATAATTCATTTAACAGCTGCGGCAAGAAAAGTCGTAAAAATGGGCCACAACTCACTTTAACCAACAGAAGTTGCTTAGCAACGGAAATGTGGGGCTCGGTTGTGGTTGTAAGTCGAGGACCACCTGCATTAAGTTGAAGTGTCAGTCTGAGTTTCTGCTTTGAACCCATCTAAACGTGGGGAATATGTGCCACCCTTTTCACTGTGAGATCTCACTGTCAAACCTGCCATACACAGTGTCTCAAAATTGTACCTGCTAGTTTTCCTCTCCCTGGGATCATAAGGAAGAAACTATGCCCTTGTTCTGTGTAACATCTCTTTGGATGCTTGAAAAAAGATTGTGACCACCATCCCTCCCACTGTTTTTCTTCATTGTTGCCTCAGCCTTTGTGACTTAAGTTTCTAGTCCCTTCATCATCTTTCTTGTCTTTCTCTGCACTTGGATTCTCTGAGTCCTTCTGCAAATGCAATGCCCAGAACTGGATATTATACTGGAGGTGGGGGGTCTGAGCAGGCCAAAGTAGAATGGCTGCTTTCCAGGGGTAGGAAAATATATTTCTGCTAAAGAAATGTAATTGATCGTTTTAGCAGCCATGTCACACTGCTGATGGATATTTGGCATGTATTCAGGTATGTCATTCCCAGACCATTTTTGCAGATGATATGAGCAGGGCAGGTAGATCTCTTATCCTATACTTGAGCGCTTGGATCCCTCCCAAATAAATGTATTTATCTTAAATGTGTTATTTTGTTTTCAACACATTTCCAATTATCAACTTTGCCTTTGTCTTTTAGAACCAATTTTATTCCACGCCTCTTTGTTTTTGTTCAGAGCAAAACATTCTTGGACACTTATATGTCAGTCACCCTTCTGATTAGCTTTTCGCCATACATACATACATACAATCAGCACTGATTATTTATTACATTAATTTCCTCTCTCAATACCTATTACTCAGATTTCTATATTTGCAGCAAGTAGTTCATATAATTATCTCCTTTGTTATCTTTGAGATTATTGCTTTCTGTCTTTGTCATCTGCTCTTCCACCCTTCCCTCTTAAGGAAACTATTGTGTTTTTATTCCTTTGTTCTAAGTATTATTATTTAGCTAACTTTCCTCATGAATTGGGGTGGTGCTGTGGCTCTGCAGTGAAGATACTGGGCTTGAAAGCCGGCAACCCGGGTTCAAGACCCAAGCGCCACATGACAGAGTGAGCTCCCATCCTCACCCAGCTCCTGCCAACTTAGCATTTTGAAAGCATGCACACGTGAGTAGATAAATAGATACCACTTAGGTGGGAAGGATGACCACAGAAATGTCTTTGGACAGCGCTGGCTCCATGGCCTTGAAACGGAGATGAGCACTGCCTCCTACAGTTGGCAACGACTAGCTGAGTAAAATTCTCAGAGACTCCTTCATGGATTGTCTTCTTGTGAATGTGATCACTTGGATATTAAAACTCAGCTCTGAGAGATATCATGCGTAGTATTGCATGTGACACAAACTTTGCATATTTAGGAATCTTTTGAATTTTGTGAGGGTGCTTCCCTGCTTTACACATGCTGTAAAATGTAATAGAAAAACTTCCATGTACCTCCAGGTAAAGGTACCTGGAGTTAGATGTGCCTCCAGGGAGTATTTTTATTCCACTTGAAAAAAGCAAGCCTATGGAATCTCCAGGAACAATGGCCGAAACAAAGATTTGAAGCATCTTAGTCTAATCAAGGCTTTTCACTGGTCCTATATGAAAAACCTTAGCTGGATAAATTGCTGATTTCATTTCCTTTTATGTTTTTGTTGCTCTAGTTCTCATTGAAGATACGATTTTCATCATATTGTTTCTGGTTATTATTTTTTTTCAGATATGGCCCCATATTATGAAAGCCTCTGCAAATCCCTTGACTGGCCAGTAGATACAGATTTGTTGAATAAGATGAAGAAAGCAAACGAGGACGAGTTGAAACGCCTGGACGACGAATTGGAAGATGCAGAGAAGAACCTGGGAGAAAGTGAAATCCGTGATGCCATGATGGCCAAAGCTGAGTATCTCTGCCGAATTGGGGACAAGGTAAGTGAAGTTTTCACAAATTGCCAAAGGATTTAAACCTGGATTTTTCTATAGTGATGTCCATATTGAAAATGAGTATTAAGTGTGAGCTGCTCATACTTTTAATACTCATACAGGGTATTAAAACTGAGGGCCACACATGGCTTTTGAATGCTATGCTGCGCATTCCAGAAACCAAGAGACTAGAAGAAAACCTACATTTGATTTGTTTTACATTCAGTTAAAGTTAAATTAGTAGGATTAGTCTCTAATCCAATATTTCATAATTTTGTTTAGCCACATTTAAAAAAAATTACAATTTGTTCTGGGGATCCCACCCATGGTTGTCTGGCTATATCTAATACCAAACAACTTGTTTATAATGCTTTCAGAAGCTGCTGTTATATATGGGGGTCATAGCATGTTATAAAACACAATAAAAAGGCCTTTGGTTTATACTAAAAAGCTCAGTGAGAAAGATTGTGTGTTAGATAATATCTTTCCGCAGATTCTCACTGGATTACTGAGTTATTCTGAAAGGCTATAGATTCCCCACCTCTTTGCTAATAGTTTTGTTTCATAGAAAATACTTGTTAATACTGTGTGGAGGGAAATGGCTGGTAACCTGATATTTGTATTTTAGCTAACCAGAGCAAAAATACATATATTTTGTCATCATTTTAACTAGATTCTTACTTTAAATGTCAGATTTGGAGGAATTTGGAGACCTTCTGTTACTGAGTAAGGTGGGAATGCAGTAATAAATAAAACTTAATGATTGCTGTGTATAGATTTTTTTTCTGTCTGATTTTTTTTAACTTCATTCTTGTGGGTGAAGAAAGAGAGACTATTAATGTTGTTAATGAATGTGAAATAGAGAAATAGAACAATCTGTCTAGGGTGCTTTAAATTGGGTTCCTTTACTGAGGAAAGGATTGCACTCTTTGGCTTAAGTAGACTTTCCTATTCTGTGATTGTGTAATGCATCTGGGGTTGCAGAAATGCATGTGTGGATCACAGTCTGGTTGGCATACTAAGCTGGTATGTGACTTTGGACTGGGCTGAAAACCCATTTGTTTTCTTGTGCTTTTCAAGTCCATTCTGCTGGCCTATTTTTATGTTACTGTACACTCTAGAAAAGGAAATTTTTGCTTGATTTTAGAATTAAGGGCAACAGGTAGCAATTTTTGTTGTTTAACTCTGTCCCTTCCCTTGGGTTTCTGAAATTGGTGGGGGATAATTCTAGTGAAATGAACTACTGGAAGTCTGACCTTTACTCAAAACACAAGCATAAACATTGAATTGGAAAGTTGTTCTTTTTTAGTTTAGTGAGGTGATGGTGTTGATCAGTAACTATTAAAGCAGGGTCTGATATCACTGTGGTAGTATAAAACATGTTTGGTATCCTTAGAGCAAGTTGTATTTGAGCTGTGGTTAGAATGCCGCATTGCAGGCTAATTCTGCCAGTAGTTCGATTCTCCCCGATTCAAGGTTGACTCAGCCGTCCATTCTTCTGAGGTCAATAAAATGAGGACCCAGATTGTTGGGGGCAATATGCTGACTCTGCTTAGAGAGGGCTGTAAACCACTGCGAAGCGGTATATAAGCCTAAGTGCTATTGCTATATGTAATCATACACATCTTGTCTGTCTTTGCCGTTTTTCCTTTAGGAAGCTGCTCTAACTGCCTTTCGGAAGACCTATGATAAAACAGTTGCTCTAGGACATCGTCTGGATATTGTCTTCTACTTGCTGCGAATCGGCTTGTTTTATATGGACAATGACCTTATTACACGGAACACTGAAAAGGCCAAAAGGTATCTTTCCTGCCAGAATGAGAGAACCGGGAGAAACTCTTTATCTAGGGCATTTCAACATAAATGTCTGGTAGTCTGATTGCAAGCCAGTGGGACTTTTTGTGACAACAAAGGCTGACATTCAGGAATATTCAATCAATGAAAAATGTCAGAAAAGCTGGAAAATGCAATTGTATCATTTAAAAATTATGATTTGGGGAGGGGGGGAAATGAAATGATGTATGGGATGGTTAGGAAGGGTAGCTTTACTTTTAAAAACTGAAAATGCATTTTGTTTCTGGAGAACATTATTTTATGGGTTTGTTATATTTTGATCATTTTTAATAAAGCGGCTTGTGCTCATAACGTAATTAGGTTATTTTAAAATGTTCAGAAATATTGTACTTCTTGGACAGTGATACTTTTGCATTAATAATGCCTCTACCTCATTTTTCCTACAGATCGACTTAACGATCATAATTGAGTCTAAAATTTTGGTCATTGTGCGTGATCATAATGCAGGTCACCGCATGATCTCATCCAATTTTATAGCCTTTTTTTTTTTTGCAACAGTTAAGTGAATGCCACAGGCATATAGCAAACCCATTGTTCGCTAGAGACCTTTTTGTTTTGGCTGGAAACCAGAAGTAAACAGCAGTTTTTTTTTGGGGGGGATGTAAATTGAATTGAATTGAATTG